AATTTTTTGGCCTTTTAAGGCTGTACTTTTACTGGTGTGCATGAAAGGATAGTAATGCACTTTTTTTAAAAAGTGCTGATAAGTCTAAAAGTTACCTTGAGCTTCAAAACACACTCTGTGCAACTGAGTTATGTTTACAGGCAGGAAAATGGAATCCAACTCAATGTGGAGCAAGAGATGAGTTGGAGGGAAGCAAGGTTATAGTTGATTCAAATACACAAAATTAATCATGTAATAATCCGCCTCAGTTCTTACATTAAAATAGGTCGTTCTTTGTTTTAACAATAAATATGGAGTACAATTTTCATCCAACAATAAGGATTGCATATTTAGGTTCAGTAATCCAATTTTTTGATTTGTAGGCAGGAGAGTGCCTATCTATCATCCAAAACTGGGGTTGGAGAGGAACACCTATTATTTATGCACACACAATTATACAACAGAACAAGACAGGTGTGCATAAACTATGGCCTCAAGGTCAGAAGTAGCTAGTGAACCATTTTCCCTACAATTAGCTCCTAATCATTTAGATGGAGGCCAGGGTAAAACAAAAGCAGCATATCTTTGCGGGGGTTGGGGAGTGTGCCTATATGTACAGAAAGGGCTACCCTCTCTCCTAGCAGCTGTGACCCTTAAAATTCACAAGATCCACAGAAAACTGAATCACCTATCTTCTTAGGCCTTCAAGGGTTCTCCATTTTTTGGTCACACAAAAAAGTGAACAGCGTTATTTAGGCTCTACTTCAAACATACACGTCTTGGGCTGGCACTTACTGAGTGCTGGCTTCAACAAGTAGGAACAAATTATTCATTCTTGGAATCAAGGCAACATTAATGTATTGGCAACTTTTTCCTCTCAGCTGAGTATAGTGAACACTAATGAGCACTGCAAAATGGAAGGGAGATAAAAATGGTAACATATGAACTAGTTTTCATCTTATGGTTCACAGGCTTTCACCATCTGATCATGAATACTGTACTCATAACTACCTCTTGCTGATATTGCACTAGGAGTTGGTAGTCTGTGTCATCATTTTACAAAACAGATTCTGATTTCTTAGACATCTGATAAGTGATGCAAAAGTCTAAGCATCTCCCTCACCACTCTGTAGGAAAATCCACATGATCAACAAAATGTTCTATGAAATTTGGTAGGAAGGAGAAAGACACAGGAAGCTGCCCCATTTTATGCCAGATTGTCTAGTTCAATTTAGCTCTCAAGTTCTCATGCAAGAGTTTTTCCTATTATTAGCTGAAGTGTATTATATGAACACATAGACTGAAATCCATGCTTTTTTGTTGAGCTGCTGTGTCTGCTGCTTGCTTCTTGCTACCAGTGTCTGGTACCTAATATCTATGTTGTTGGGATCTGGAATGTGGCGTATCTCTTGTATATATATATTTATGCTTCTCTCACTTGTTTATATTTTCCTTCAACTGTAAACAACTGAAATTTCCTACAGTAGTAAATTTCAATTCTCTATATGTTTAATAAAGTTTCAATGGGAATCCCTACTGCTTTTGCTAAGATAAGACACTCGTAAAGAAACAACCTTTGTTTATACTCTGATTTGGTTCTTTGCCATACTCTAATACAAACTGGCTCCATAACATTTTACTTGAGTATATGAGGAAAATGGCAGGAGTGTAAAGTGCTGATGAACAAGTTTGGTCAGATACTAATTTGCTCTATCTGCATTTTGGAACTGGAAGAGTTCCCACATCTAGGGATTGCTTTTTCAAAGTTACGGTTGCCCCAATGTTATGTTTTCATTTTCCTTATTTGTTTGTGTCCATGCTCAAGTGTTAGCTCACTATGAAAGAGATTTTTTGTGAGGCAATGTTCACACTTGGCTGGAGAGCTAGCTGATTGTTTTACAGTGACTTTTATTATACAGCTGATATCCAATACAACCTGCTTCACTGTCTTCTGCAATCACAATGCAAACATTTAAAACTGCAACACGCCTCTGATTAACAAATCACCACCAGGGTTTCAAAATAACTTCAGCCTTCAGTAAGGTAAGAAGCACCAACAACAGACCACCATACATGAAAGTAAAACAAAGTATTTAATATCCTATCATAGCCCCCATGGACCACCCAATATCAGATATCAAGGGTTGGAAGGAAAATGGAGGGCTGGGTTAACTGCGCAGTTGCCAGCAAAGGTTTTGATTGGGATTGACCTCTCTGAGTATGTGAAGAGAGTTTTAGTACTGACTCATACCCAAAAGGAAAATGAAAGGACAGCTGAGGAGAATGAAATTCCTGTAGAGATAATGACAGACAATAGTGACACAGCTGAAGTAATATAGCTTAGTAATCCCCAAAACAATACTTTTACTGTGGAACAAAAGGCAGATTCCACACTGAAATGCTACTCTGAAGAAGTTATTGTAGGTCCATTACCCACAGTTACCCTGAGGGGAGAGGACCCTACAGCTGAATCAGTACTAATGGAGAGACCAATAGAAAACTCCTTTAAAAGGGAACAAAGTACGGATCCCAAGTTATATCAGTGTTTTAAGCCTAATGGTGAAAGGCAGTTAAACCCAGAGAGTCCAGATAGGGTCTTCCCAGCTGTGTGAATCCCAGTGGGGGAGGGGAGACTCACCTCAAGCAAATGATTGTTCCTCTCAAAGATCAAGTGGGTACAGAGGAGCAGGGACACACTGGTACCTTTGCAGCTAATATAGATTTGGCAAGCACTGATCAGAGATTAGGACAAAACCTTTACTGCCTTGAGGTGGAGGAGCAGTTAAGAGAATTTGGCCAGAGGGGTGAAGGAGGTCAGAGGCCAGAGGAGGGCAGTGATAAAACTGACGCCAGGCTATGTCCTTTACCTGCCATTTTGAACTCAGTACAACGCAGTGGTTTGGATATAGGTAGACGGTTGCCCAGAGTTACCCTGAGGGGAAACGAATTCAGTCGGAATATAACTGAGGGTGCAGCACATTATCCCAAAGGAGTTCCCCTGAATAATATTCAGGCTCAGAACATTGGAGATGCTCTGCTGAGGCAGTTGGGTAGCAGCAAGTTTACTTCTGAGCTCGTCAAGATTTTGGGAACCTATTCCCCTCACAAGATGATGCGAGTAACTTCCCAGGTGAATGAGGGAGATTACCTCAATATGTTAGAGGGAAAGACAAACCAGACAGGGGACCAGGGGAAAATAATCAAGCCCTTCTATGAGAAAGGAGACCTTGTCTTGATAGCATGGAAAGGGGCAAACAAGGAAAGAATCAAGTTACCTTGCGGGGAAGGAAGGTGTGAACTCAAATAACCATCAGAGGAGGACCAAGTCAGTACCTTAGTTTCCCCAGAAAACCAAAAAGGAGCTAGAGCCGTGCTTCAGAGGGTCAGGCAGGTTTTCTCCAACAAGCCTGGATTAGCCAGGGGTGTAGTGCACAGGTTTGACACTGGGGATGCACGCCCACAGTTGGTTACACCTTATAGAGGTCGAACCTATCTAGCCAAACTTTGGGGCTGGAATGCAAGGTTTGTGCAAAATAAGAGAAAGGAAAAGACCCTGCGAAAACATGCATGGCCATATTGGGAAGGCAGAGGGGTGACCTATCGAAAGATAAATAGGGTGAGACCCAGCCTAAACCAGCCAGGGGTGCTGAGAGAAAAAGGATGGAAAGTTAGGCTAGTTCTGGCTAGGCCTTGCTTAAAGGGCTTAACCAAAAGCAACATGTTAGCAGCTCCAGAGGGGGAGGTGAAACTCTGTAGAGCAGCTAAAATTACAAGGCGGAAAGAGAGATGGAAAACAGCACTGGAGGCAGACCGCTTGCGGAGAGGTCCCACGGGCCAGAGAGGCGTCACCATCGCGGAGAGGTCCAGATTCCAGACAGGAGCCACGCTGAGCCAGGCAGATGACTGCAAGATCCTTCATCTGAGGTTGTTCCGGAGAGGGAAGCTACAGGTTGGTGAGGGACCCCAGCTGTTTACAAGTCATGAGTACCATAAAGGTGCAGAGGGAGATGGACTTCACCACATCACAAGGCACAGGAGGATAGGACATTTCCCTTATGGACAAAACTACTCCACCATAACTACAGTTTTGGACTTTTGAAGAGGAAGAGAACCTGGTGGTGAGAGTAAACTCATGCGTCATGTTGGTCTGTGAACATTTAAAAATTGCGACAAAAGAGACTCAAAAATGTGGTAGCATAAGGCCAAAGGCTGAAGAAGGAAATGGACTTTGTTAATGTAGTGAAAGCAATAAAATGTTCATGTACACATTGTTGAATGTTATATGCTGTGTATTCAAAAGAAAAATGTATGTAAATATTAAAAGTGTTTATGTGTGGTTGTTGGGTAAGCACCTGTATAGATAATTGAAGTGCTGAGGTATGTAATGGATCTAGCAACTGGATTGTAAAGTTATGTATAACATGCAGGTAAGATGTTGAATTATTGTTTATGAACATGTTGTGGTAAGTCTGAGTGTATTGTTGGGATGATGTAATATTGTAAAGCTCTTCGTTCATGAGGGGAAAGTACTATAGCTTTTCCCCCTTGAAACAACTTAAGGGGGGAGGCATGTAGCGTTCAGCCCTGCCCTTACCTGTCCATCACAGCTGAGCAGTGGAACAGCAGCCAATGAGGGGACGGAAGGTGGTGCTAAAGGGGGAGGAGCTGGGATATAAATGGGTGTGTGTGGAGTGTGTGAAGGAGATTTGAGTGATTTGAGATTTGTGAGTTTAGTGAGTCTATGGGTCTGTGAGCCAATATGTCAGTGAGAGTAGAGTTCTGTGTGTCAGTGTGTGTCAGTGAGTGAGAGATATTGATTAGCAACTTGTGATTTACCTATTTTATTTTGTTAATCAAATAAACACATTTTTAGTTTAAAAGCAACACCTGTCTCCTTAAATAATTGATACTGAACTGAAGTATTGGTGGCAGCAACTGTGTGAAAGAGTGAGCACCTTCTGGAAGCCTGAGATAATAGAGGTTTCAGTGCGCTCGCTACAACAATGTTCACACAATTCAACTATTTTTGCCAATTTAATAGAAAAACAAACTTTTTTACAAACAAACATCACTTAAAATCAAAATTCTCACAAAATATAAGTATACAAATCCATTCTCCTTATCTTCCACAGCCAAATGTTTGATTCCACATATCATACATTTCCAAATCTTTAGAAGATACACTGGGACGAACAGTTTTCAAAGCACTGTCAAAATCTTGAAAGACAATACGCCGCACTTGATCGGGTGTGATGGTTGCAATGTCAACAGACTGAAGGCTGCGGATAGGGCCTAGAGAAGCTTCACGACAAAGCTGAGTCATGTCAGCCCCAGAAAATCCCTCTGATTTTTGAACAATGATATCTATTTCCTCTTCTGTTAAAGAACAGTGTTCCTTTGACATCAAACGAGACACTATCTGCCTCCTGGCAGAAGCATTAGGAAGTGGAATGTAGAGTCTCTTTACCAGTCTCCTTCGGGCAGCCTCATCGATCTCTTGTGGACGGTTAGTTGCTCCTACAACAAGTATGCGGTCTTCAGAAGAGGTAGTTGCTCCATCTAACTGGACTAAGAACTCTGTTTTTATTCTTCTGGAAGATTCATGTTCCCCATCACCACGCTGGGACAAAAGAGAATCAATTTCATCAATGAAAATCACAGCTGGTTGCTGGCATCGTGCTACAGCAAACAATGCACGCACCATCTTTTCTCCCTCACCTACCCACTTGGAGGTCAATGAAGAGGCACTGATACTAAAAAATGTGGCCCCAGATTGAGATGCAATACATTTGCCAATGAGTGTCTTCCCTGTACCAGGAGGGCCAAACAATAGAATTCCTTTTGGAGGGCCTCGTAATCCAGTAAAAATATCAGGTCTCAACATAGGCCATACTACTATCTCCTTGATAGTTGCTTTTGCAAACTCAACTCCAGCAATGTCATCCCAGTTTACTGGAGGTCCATGGTCTATGATTTCATGCATAACAAGTTCTATCATTTTTGCATCTATATTCTTCAACCGTTCATCTACTGGTTGAACTCGCTCAGTAGCTCCATTTCCAAAAGCTTTGCATGGCATTCCCGTATGTCCATTTCCATCTTGTTTTGGCACTGGAGATACAAACTTTGAAAATGGACCCCGAGGCCTTGCTGCTCCCAAAGACTTTTTTGTATAACCATAAGCTGGTAATGAGGTATGGTGGGGTTGATTTTGGTGTTTCTTTTGTTGGTCTACCCAGAACTGTTCTTTTGCAGATTTGAAACCAGAGACTTTGTTCTCACTGTTTTTCTTTCCACTCCATGAAAATGTCTTACCTTCACCAGGAATGGAATCAGAAGAAATATTACTGCATTCCTCACTGGACACAAAACATGTTTTCCTTTTTCCCAGGTTGCTCATTCCTTCGGGAAAGGCAGAGTGAGTAGGAAAGGATGAACTTTGTCCAACAGGAGAATTATTTTTAAGCAGCAGACTAATATTAACTGCTGAGTCACCATTTCTAAATAATTGAGCGGCAAAAGGAGTATCAGATACATCACTTACAGGCACAGGTGGCATTCCTGCTTTGGATGAGGAAAGATTACTGATTTGATGAAATGTCAAAGCTGGGGCTCTTCCAAGAGTATCTGCTACTGTATCTAGGCAATTTGATGAGCCAGCCCCAAACACAGATTCACCATTACCATTAGAGAGAACAATTTTAGGATGACTTGAAGAAACAGAGGCAATGACCTCCTTATCAATGGTTATGCTAGCTTGTGCCTTCAGAGGATTCTCTAACTTTTTGCCAGCTTTCATCAACTCCTGCACACATTTCAATTCCATCACATTACTTGTTGTAAAAGCAGATTGCCATTTATCACTGTCATTTTGCTGGCATTTTGCCGAAGTCACAATGTTTTTAGCATAGTTATTCAATCCCGTTTCTACATTGTCAGAGTCAATAACTGCAGAATACTTCTCTGTATATTTTTTGAATAGGTTGGCAGCACAAATTTCGGGGATTTCAGAATTTGCCCAGGCATACTGAATGCGTAAAATCTGTGAACGACATGCATCTGCCTTCTCTTCCGGTGTGCTGGTGTCAGAGGTTACAGCAAAGTAATTCTTCTGCCATTCACTCAGGTGTATGCCATGAGGGATACTGGTCTGCATGATCTACAGAAAAATGTACAAAAATGTTGCAATCAGAAGGGGTACATGAAATGTTGAGAAAATTTATCATCAATAGCCCTTTCTTGCCTGTGAAGAAGGAAACACCCCTGAATGGTTAACTCCTATTGCATTAAGGGCAGACAGAGATCACATTTCTAAATTAAGACTGTTAAAAGACTTGATCCTGAGATTATTCTTCCTCTTCTGATATCACATAAAGAAAAACAAAGCAGAGAATAGCACTAAGAGCAGATGTAAGGAAAAATCCCTACAGAATGGCAGATATGGGACAGGATGATATTTAAAGGGCACAACCAACTAGGAGGGTTGAAATACTTTCATATTTCAACCACGTATAAGAATGGATCCTGATGCTAAGTTTTTGCCAGCATTCTAGTCTCTGTTTGCAGTGAAGGAGACATACATGTCTGAAAGGGAAATACCCCAGTGGCACTACTAAGGGGAAAGGACTAGCTGAAGAATTCTGTCAGAAGGCAAACACATTCATTACATGTCTAATAAACACAGAGCTGCCCAAGTTCTACTAGTACAGCAGTAAAGAGTTCTGCTAGTACAGCAGTAGCATGAAAAGTGGCATACACTAGTGGAGTTTGATGTGATGTTTCGAAACACCTTAGATCTCATAGGTAGTGTAAAATGTCACTCAATGGGCCAAGGCAAATGGCTCAACCTTTATGCATAAGGCGGTAAGAAGAAAAGAAACAAAAAGAACCTCTCACATTTCCAATGATGTCATACATATGATATAGATTTTAACAGTACATCTGTCAAAACTATGCTCAGCCACCTGTAGGTAAGAAGTCTGAGAAATACAGAATGAAGTGGTTCACTTAGCACAAGGTGTACATGCCAGGAAGGAAGCCATTAAAGTACAGGTGGGCTCAGTAGAGAGGATCCCCTAAAAAATGACAAATGTGAGGATAAAAAGGAATAGACGGCATGACTGGCGTATTGAAGGTAGATGAAAGGACTGATAATTATCTCCTGATGGAACGAAGTTCCATACCAACACATTTTTGTTGTTGTTTAGTTAAGTTGTGTCTGACTCTTCGTGGCCCCATGGACCAGAGCACGCCAGGCCCTCCTGTCTTCCACTGCCACCTGGAGTTGGGTCAAATTCATGTTGGTATCTTTGATGACACTGTCCAACCATCTCGTCCTCTGTCGTCCCCTTCTCCTCTTGCCCTCACGCTTTCCCAAAATCAGGGACTTTTCCAGAGAGTCTTCTCATCTCATGAGATGGCCAAAGTATTGGAGCCTCAGCTTCAGGATCTGTCCTTCCAGTGAGCACTCAGGGTTGATTTCCTTCAGAACAAGTAGGTTTGTTCTCCTTGCAGTCCAAGGGACTCTCAAGAGTCTCCTCCAGCACCACAATTCAAAAGCATCAATTCTTCGGCAGTCAGCCTTCCTTATGGTTCAGCTCTCACTTCCATACATCACTACAGGAAAAACCATAGCTTTGACTATGTAGACCTTTGTCGGCAAGGTGATGTCTCTGCTTTTTAAGATGCTGTCTAGGTTTGTCATCGCTTTCCTCCCAAGAAGCAGGTGTCTTTTAATTTCGTGGATGCTGTCACAATCTGCGGTGATCATGGAGCCCAAGAAGGTAAAATCTGTCACTGCCTCCATATCTTCCCCTTCTATTTCCCAGGAGGTGATGGGACCAGTGGCCATGATCTTAGTCTTTTTGATGTTGAGTTTCAGACCATTTTTTACTCTCTACTCTTTCACCCTCATTAAGAGGTTCTTTAATTCCTCCTCACTTTCTGCCATCATAGTGGTGTCATCTGCATATCTGAAGTTGTTGATATTTCTTCCGGCAACCTTAATTCCGGCTTGGGATTCATCCAGTCCAGCCTTTTGCATGATGTATTCTGCATATAAGTTAAATAAGCAGGGAGACAATATACAGCCTTGTCATACTCCCTTCCCAATTTTGAACCAATCAGTTGTTCCATATCCAGTTCTAACTGTTGCTTCCTGTCCCGCATATAGATTTCTCAGGAGATAGATAAGGTGGTCAGGCACTGCAATTTCTTTAAGAACTTAACATAGTTTGTTGTGGTCAACACAGTCAAAAGTTTTTGTGTAGTCACTTGAAGCAGAAGTAAATGTTTTTCTGGAACTCTCTGGCTTTCTCCATAATCCAGCGCATGTTAGCAATTTGGTCTCTAGTTCCTCTGCCTCTTTGAAATCCAGCTTCTACTTCTGGGAGTTCTCGGTCCACATACTGCTGAAGCCTACCTTGGGGGATTTTGAGCATAACCTTCCTAGTGTGTGAAATGAGTGCAAGTGTACGGTAGTTGGGGCATTCTTTGGCACTGCCCTTCTTTGGGATTGGAATGTAGACTGATCTTTTCCAATCCTATGGCCACTGCTGAATTTTCCAAACTATGTCCCCATAGCTCTTGTTTATTCCTGTCAGTGAAAGGTGCTCATGGGTGGTCATTACCTCTCAATAAATCCCTAACTTGTTTGCTGACAAAGCTATGGAAAAATCTGATTAGATGATCAGAAATGATATATAGCAAGTCAAGTTGGAAATGCCTTTTTCCCTAGCGTGAGGGCAAAAGAAAAAAGAAAGAATCTTCTTGGACTGTTTTTGGAACATTTAACTATTTTTACTTCATTGATGATATTTCAGCAAATTTCGCACTGAGTAGGTGGTTTTGAGGGCTTGCGATCTATACTTGTGCTCCTCCTGCTGCTGTCCAGTAGATGTTTTTTCTGGAACTCTCTGGCTTTCTCCATAACCCAGTGCATGTTAGCAATTTGGTCTCTAGTTCCTCTACCCCTTCAAAATCCAGCTTGTACTTCTGGGAGTTCTCAGTCCATATACTTCTGAAGCCTACCTTGAAGCCTACCAACACATAGCTATGTTATGAAATTAGGCCATGTTCACTGAATGCCTGCAGCACTACAGAAATAAGACAAAGACATTCCATGTGGATCCACAAATTCTTGTAACTGACTCTCTACAAAGGTTAAACAATAGATTAATAAATCTGTCTGATACTCTTAACTAGAACAGAGGAGGCACTCAGACTTCAGGTGGCTAAGCACAACCAATTCGCATCTGGTGTGTACGATGACCCCAGGGAAGGTGTGGCTGTTTGTTAAGGAACCAGCGGCCCCCAGGTAAATTGAGTTTGAGACCCCTGGTCTAGATATTGTCTATAATATGAAAGATTTTTTTAAAAAAAAAAACAAGTCCTTCTACCTCTCTATCATTTTATAGTACAGGATACGTCCCTAACAATTAAGAGGCACTCCTCACTGCATCATTCCAATAGTAATCTAACTCAATTTCCCCACTTTGCTATGACTGGATTCGCTCACAGCACCAGCACAAACTGTGACACTGTGCTAACAAGTCTTACACACAGTCCATATGTTCTTAGGGAGCACACAGAAGTACGCCTCGTCATTTACAAAAACAATTTTCTGTAAATTATAAAGTACAGTATCAAAGAATTGTGTTGTACCATGACATACATGTTTTAATGCTCCAAAACAGTTGTTCACAATCTTTGGTCCTCAGATGTTCTTGGACTACAATTCCATGAAACCTTCACTGCTAGTTGTACTGACCAGGATTTCTGAGAGTTGTAGTCCAAGAACATTCGAGAGCCCAAGACTGAGAACCATTGCTCTAAAACAATTGTGAATGCAGGAGGCTTATGAGATGAACAGAGAAATCTTTAGGTCCACCTAACAGCTTGTAATGGTGGGGCCTCATATTCACCAGTAGGACCACAGTTCCGCAAGTGAGGTGGGGCACCAGAGTGAAAGCCCTATCCTGCATTCCTGCCAGTTTAATGGCTCTCACAGATGAACTCTGATGCTCACAATCAAGCAAGTTAATACTAGTGAAGACCAGCATTCATGTATCCAGGGTCCAAACTCTTCAGCAGTTTAAAGGTCAATGCCAGTGATTTAAACCAGTGGTTCTTAACCTTTGTTACTTGGATGTTTTTGAACTGCAACACCCAGAAACCCCAGCCAGCACAGTTGGTGGTGAAGGCTTCTGGGAGTTGCAGTCCAAAACTCCTGAGTAACCCAAGGTTAAGAACCAGTGATCTAAACTAAGCCCAGAAACACACTGGAAAGAAGAACAAGTGACACAAGTAAAGGTAGCATATGATTCAACTACCTAACAGCTACCTATCTTCAAATGACCACACATGTTTGGCCTCCTCAGCTGCATCCTTCTCCTTTAACAATCCCATAAATGGAATTATTAAAGAACTATTTAGAAATTGTTCACACATCAGCCAAATACACTTTTCAATATTTTGAAACTCAAACTATATATTAAACGATGTTTAATGCGTTCCAATGGCTTTTTTTGTCCCGTTCAGCGATGTTTCGCTATAGCGAAGGTTAATCCGGAACGGATTAACCTCGCTATACGAGGCACCACTGTACACTTTTCAATATTTTGAAACTCAAACTGACCCCTAATTCAAAGGCATTAAGAACATCAAATGAACAGATCCAAGAGGAACAGATCATGGAAACAAGCCATTACAGACCATAGCAAGTCACTTTCAGCAGGCTAGTAATTTATTAGGCATTTTACATAAGCATTAACTCTCAAATGTTCTGGTCATTTATAAACCTCTGGTTCATATTCAGAAGAAGGGGGTTTGTGGACCCTTTTGTCAGTGTCCTGTCTTGTGTGGAAGCAAGACAGTGATGAAAGCCAAGTATTTCCCTCTATTCAGTCACTAGTCAGTGAAAACTGTAGACCCTGTTAAAATCATTTATAGCTATTTCTATGACACTTTTGAGACAGATACAAAGGTACCACCCTACCCCAGATCGTACAGGAGCTTCTCAAGCAGGATCATGGCCTTTCCTGCATTGATGTCACTAGGATAAACTAAGTTATAAGCAGTGGTAAATGAACCACAAAGTTAAATAACATCCATTGTACAATTTAAGAACGCACTAGAAGAAAAAGTATTTAAAAGTGCCGT